TAAGATCAGAATAGCAAACTGATGATCAGCCAGAACCTGATATAGTGAATTGATCCCACATCTCTTTCTTCTTATATCATTTAATTTGACTGAGACCATTAGTAAAAGCTCATCTCACTGAACAAAAATGGGATTTTGCTAGAAGGAAACAATGTCAGGCTTTACTCATACAAAACTGAGCTCTCCATAAATTAAAACCTGAATGCAAAACATAGTAAGAAACAAAATTTGGCTATACTTACAAATTCTGACAACAATAATTATCTACCTGCCGATGAACATGACTAAGCCACAAGACCCCCATGTACTCTCAAAGTGCCAAATAATTATCTTCTGTAGGACTACTAAAATGAATGGCAGTCATCTTCCAGCAATTAGGAGCTTAAACAGGTACAGCAAATGGCAATGTCTTGCAGGATAATCAACAATGCAGCATTGACCCCTATTGCGGCCATCCTTCACTTATCTACTGAAATACCTTTCTGAGTCTCTCAGCAGAAAGAGATGCTCTTTTGTTGGTTGGCTCTAGCACCAGTGCATATCTAAAATCTGCAAAAAGCAAAGAACAATTATTCCACCTAACCTCCATAGAAAACCTACCAACCTCCAGGTGAATACTTCTTGACGTTATACACACACACACACACACACACACATATATAATTATATTCCCGCTTTAAATATTGGTATTATTATTCCCATTTGAAGTGCAATAAATGTCTTACCGATATTACTAAAAGGAATTTAGGATAACATTTGATAATTAAAATATTTTCTATTTTTCATCTCTTATAACATACAAGGTAATATAAATATAACCTATGCTACACATGTATGAGTGTATATATATAGACACATTCAGGAACACATGTATGCATGTATTATGTATATATAGAACTTCAAGTATAATATCTTCTCCGTTAACAGTAAGTATGCCTACAAGCACATTACAAATACAAGAGAAAAAAGGCTGACTGTTAATTGGAAAGCAACAATTAACCTTCAATTGCCTCCTTATAGTAGCCAAGCATCTCTCTGGCAGTGCCTCTGCGTAAATATGACTTCACATTCTGAAGAAATAAAACAAAGAACGTGATGTTAGTCAAATTACACAGCAAGATAAAGTTCTACTATCGATATATGGTCCCAATAACTCAATTGATGTCATACAGACACGGAGTAATTATCCTTTGAATTTCTAGATATTTTAATTCCATTGAGTAAATAACATTATGTAACCATGAAAAAACAAAGGTCTGGAGTTGGGAAACTTATTGAGAGTCAACATTAAAGATGCAGTTTCTTCTTTTTGTGTAAAATATGGTTTGACTTACAACAAGTAAATGGTATTGAATGAGTTAGTGATACAGCACCAGAAACACTAACAAGATACAAAAATTATCTATTGGTGATTAATTTACCTTCTTATCAAGGTTAATGGCTTTAGTACAATCTGCCTCCGCTTGAAGAAAACTGCAAAGAAAGAAGAATATATCAAGCAGGTCCAAGAAACTTATAAATAAGGTGTTAACTCAAGAATGTTATCTAACTTACCTTCCCAGTTCAAGATATGCTGCAGCCCTGTTACTGTAATATGTCGCATTATTTCCATTTAGTTTTATAGCTTCGGAATAGAAACCTATAGCCTTTTGCCACTGTTTCTCTTTGAATGCTTGGTTGCCCTGGTGCACAAATTAAAGAAAAAATGAAGAAATATTTCAGTCAGAAAAGAAAACTAACAAAACATCCCCAAAAGGAAAGGCTTGACTAAGACAGCATGAACTGACAGATTGAACAAAAGACGACATGCACAAATGCATTAAAAGCATTATAAAACATTTCAAGGCAGAAAAACTTTTTTAATAAGAAAGAAGAAAGAAATATTTAACAGCATTAATGCCTCTACACTTCTATCTTAAGGCTTACAAATAGATGCTGCAATCATTCTAATAATCAACCTTTTCCTTGGCAATCTCAGCAGACTGTTCCTGGCTGACAGTCCTATTTGATGATACTTTGCCTTTGGCAAGAAGATCAGCTTGCTCTTGTAAAGATGGGTACATAGTCTGCACAGTATCGAGCAAAAAGCGATCACCCCCTTGTCTGACTATGAAAGAAACTGAAATTGGACACTTATCATGATATCCAAGCGGTACTGTGACCTGAAACATTAAAAAACTTTCTTTAAAGATGATGTTAAAGCCAAATATAAGATTAAATGAAGAAGCATAATTGATGGTTATTGTAATAAGAAGTTTGAACAGTAATCATCTAAAAACATCCTACTTTCTATAAGGAGGCTGAGAGAGAGAGTTCTCACCTGACAGCAACCAGATATGCTAGCAATACTCAACAAACTATATGTACTGTTCTGATAGTCTTCTGACATGATCTCCTTGCTACCAAGTTTGGGAGGAAGATAAGCAGTTGTAGGAATCACCAAAATTCCATCATCCTAAACAAAATATGGAATTAAGAGTTTACAGATCAAGGTCATATAAATTTTCAACCAAAAAAAAGCATTACTCACAAGGCAGGAAGAAGGTGCTGCCCATGCATTATATGACGAGAACCATTACCTTCAAAAGAGAATTAAGAGCTAACCGCATGTCGTTCCTTATTGCCTTGCAATTTTCAATCTCGGTATCTGTCAACTCAATTTTCTCTTGTATTTCTGTGGAAATAGCAGGATCAAGTGCTGGCTTTACTGAATTAATCCATTCCCCATGATTAAGTTGAAACTCATGCCTGTGTCCAAAAGTTAGAGAGATGGATAAAAAACTCAGAATCTCAACAGTTAAAGAGAAGAACAAAGCATAAAAAGCTCTTAGATAGAGCATGTACTAATAAGTGAATATAACAATTATAACTATTCTCTTCCATTGGGTTGACCAAAAAAATAAGCATAAGGCTTCCAGTTTATCATGTTTATTTTATAACGTATAATTAGTGCATCCAAAGACCTCTAGATAAGATGAAAGGGATTATAACTACGGCGTGTTCCACCAGAAACAAATACTACTTATTACTCATCTAAATAAAACATCACCTCTTCTTCCCAGGGCAGGAACATGATACTGCATAGCTTGGACAGGATAAAAATCACAAATACAACAAATAACTTTTATAGATTTTTTAATAAATGCTAAGCAATTCTCAATTGCAATTACATATAACCAAAGAACTATAGAGCAATTTTCACATCAAAATAGAAGTTTTTGAAGACCTATAAATAAGATGAACGGGATTAAAGCTACAGTGAGTTCTGAACATGGAAACAAAATCTTTGTTATCACTCATCTACAAGATCCCCTCTTCTTCCCAGAGCACTATATTTAATGCATAGTACTAGTGACTCCTTCCTGCATGCATCTTAGTCTTCAAAGCTTTCCTTCATACATTGCTCCTCACCCCAAAAAAATCTACACTCTTTCTTCTACTTTTTCTCTCTCCCTGATGCTTACCATTTTCCTTAGCCCCCTCAATTACGTTCATGTATATCCAGTGTATAGATTATGATTATAATCTTTCGGCCGTCACATATGATTTAGAAGAAAGCTCACCTTCGAATAAACTGCATAACATTCGCAAGCAATCTCATAGACGAAGTTCTGATTTCACCATTTGCTTTCTTTCCTTGGAATTCTTTCAAACTTGGAACTTTAGAATTAAAATAGCTTTCCAGACTTTCATGCTTCAGCACTTGTCCTAAAAGATCATAATAAAGAAGGAAAATTAGGAATGTTTCTCCATTCAGAGGAATAAATAAAAAAAAAAAGGAGGATCTCTTTGAGATTTTCGAACAAAGATGAATTAATAAAGGACATACTTCCAAAAAGTTTCTCGGTTGATTTAATAACCACCTCAACAACCCTGTCTCTAGGAATCCTCGATAGTTGAAAACAATCATCAGCTATGAAAATTTGCCTTGGATTGCGTTGGGGTGCAAAAGGAAGTTGCAGTAGTATATGGCCAACACGTCGTAGAATATTTGGATCCTTAGCACACCATCCTACCAAAGAAATACACTGGTCAATACAATACATCATTTACAATTATTACTTTAACTGACTACCACAGTGGTGCATGAAGAAAAGAAGAGTAATAAAGCAGAAGGCAAACACAAAATAAGAATTAAAAAATGGTTGATTGATAGATATAAACATGTTCAACAATATCTGAGAGTCCATAGGTAGCTTCCCACTGCTTACCTCAACAAGATAACTTTTTAAGCATTTAAGGCAAGTATATTACACGTGCAACCAAGAAATGTTACTTATTTGAAGTCTGGTAGACTGTGCTATATTGACATACAAAGTTTGTTTTCAACTTCATTTCAAATCTTGATTAGTAGAAATGTTACTTATTTTTTATCGAAATAGCCACAGGAGAGCAATGTATTTATTATGGGGCCGCAAACAAGCATGAACATCATCATGTCAAAAGTCCACATCCTCTACTGACAGCACAAACTCCACCAATAAAGCAACTTCATCCACTACAATTTTCATGCTAATGATTTTTGGGACTAATAACAAGGATTAGAGAATATCCTTTTTTAAAAAAGAAGTGGCATCAAGGGAAATCAGAAAGCAGAAGCACTTGGAATGAATATATCTTCTAAAACTGTATTCGAGGCATGCATTATTAATTTCTTTATAGACAAAAAGTATAGCACGCAGTTTCCCATTACCAACAGCGTCAAGACTTGTTGAAAGAGGTATAATTCCTGCATGAGAAACAGCTCCATATGAAGATCGGAACCCTATGGTGCCACAATATGCAGAAGGCACTCTAACACCACCAACAGTATCAACACCTGCAACAAATACACTGTCAAATGCATTTTCCCAAATTTTTACAACTAACATGAAAAAGAAGGCTCTTTTTAGTGACACCATTAAAAATGTCAATCTCTATGCAAGACTAACAATAACAAGTCACATATAAAACTAGGAGACAAACTGACAAATAGAGAACAGGAATCCCACCCAAGGAGAAGTCAACAAGATTAGCAGCAACTGCCACAGCAGCTCCACTAGAAGATCCACCAGAAATGCGTGCATGCGCTGCAGGATTGGTTGGTGCACCATAATGTTTGTTTTCACCATTTATGCTGGAGACAAAAGATGCAAGAGAAAACTGAAATCATGAAAATTCTGCAAAGGATAGATGCAACGATACAAAGAAAAACACAATTGAAAATAAGTTTTTATCCCTTCGTCACCATACCATGACATAAACAAAATATAGTATATCTTATTCATAATAATAGTAGTACAGATAAATATCTTCAGTCAATGATATAAAATCACTAGTCTGCAAGTCAAAAGGAAGCAGCAAGAAACCTATAAGCCAGTTCATCCACAACGGTTTTCCCAACACAAGTGGCACCTCCTTCAACGAGAGTCAAAACCACCGGGCATGTCCGTGAAGCTACTTCATGTGTCCTAGCCCAGTCTGGTTGGCCAAACCCAGTCACATATCCTTCGATGTCAAATCTGACAGTCATAACAGAAAAATACTTAATCCAGATAGAGAAGTTTCAGTAGACTTGCAATAAATAATAGCAGAAAATTTTCCATCAGAATTTTCCCTTTTTTTCCTTTCCTGGTAACCAGAAAGTATAGTAGCTCAACTGAGGTGGAAGGATTCGGTGTTCCACTATATTTTGAATGTCTTATTATGCTTAAGGTAAAATATTTGTACAAGGTAAACTTTGAATCAGTAGAAAGTAGACAAATTTAGGAACTCACTGATAACATCTGAATGTTTTCAACACAACACCAAATCAAATACATGCTAGGAATGTTTTGAATTGTTCAGCGCAAAAAAAAAGGGAAAAGAAGTCCAATCATTGAATTGAGACGATAAAAAAGCAAAAGAGTAGGAGGAAAAAAATCATAAACATAAACATACAATAAACTCAATACAAGTAACCCTGGAAAATGATTTCAGGCACATTCTAATCAATGATTGCTGGAAATTTTGGACCTCCGAAGTATATAACGTTATTAATAAAAAGAATCAGTTGTCAACTGGAAATTTTGGGGAAAATGTTAAAAATGATTAGCATGTCACGAAGTACTGATACTAAAAAATACAGAAACCTCCATTCAACTGAATCCGGCATGGTTTCACTTCAAACAATTTTCCTTTTGAGATTAAAATAATTCGACTCAATTGTTCACTTCCTAACCTCTCTCTACCAAGCACCTGTACTTTCTTCTAAAAGGAACGGATTATGAAGAAATTCTTTCAGGCCATGATATATAGCTTCATCCAAAAAAATTTACAACAGTACGCCAAACAAATTTAGAAATGACAGCTTACAGGTCAGAGACAGCGAAGGTTAATCCAGTAAGAGGATGCGGAGCCTTGGGAGGAGCAGGCTGAGGAGGAGGAAGCAGCTGTAACTTCTCGATAAAGGCGCCGAAGTCTTCTCTGATAGCCTTCTTGAGCTTCTTAGTCATGATAATGATTCCGGCGAGGCCGAGGCCCAGAAGCACCCAGAGATTAGCGGAATGAGAAGCCATGTAGGATTTTCTCTGCTGCTGATAGAATCAGCAACACAGAAAGAGAGGCGTGTTTAACGGTAATAGAGGTTCAGAGGAGAAGAAGAAAGGGTAAAAATATATATAAGAGATGGGCGTGGCGAACGAGGTGGATGGATGAAGGAAGGTTTTTCAGACCCTAAATGAAGAGAAGCTGCGGAATGAGGAGTTGTGGTTATCAAGATTCACAAGCCACGCTCGGCTCGACTTCTTCACTACACGACTCTTCTCTCTCTCTCTCTCTCTCTCTCAAAATATCACCCTAGTAATTCTACCAGCATTTGAGCTCATTAATTGCTTCTTGGTTTTGGCAGCTAAGATAAAAAGGTTAAAATTTTACTATTATTTACAGACAAATCAACATATATTACAAATTATTTTTAAAAATTATATTTTATTTTTTAAAATTTATTATATGAGATGTTTCTGTGCATTATTTTATAAATAAGTATAGAGTTTATAATATTAAAGCTTTATATATTTATCAACTACTAATATAAAAGATTAATACAACAAAAAAGATAGGCGCAATTTTTTTTTTTTATTTTTACTAATAAGTTTTTAAAGTGATATCATAATTTCTGTAATATTAAGCTTAAATACCAAGGATTCAATAACTTTTTCTGGTGTAAATCACAATTTTTTTAAAAATTTAAAGTTAAATTATTAATTGTAACACCTACAAATTTTTTGTGATGATTAATAATTAATAAATATAATTTTTATTATTTTATTTTATTTTATTTAAAGTAAAAAACGAAATAAAATTGAAGGAGAATTTAATTGAAAATAATTTTGAAAAAAAAGAGTGAAAATTTGAGTTTTGGAAGTAAAAATCGAAAAATATGGACCAAAATGTAATTTTAGAATGTTTCGCCATATCAGACGCCAGTCAGCAGTCTAGACCAATAAGGACGCACCAAGTGGTAGAGGCGCTAATGCGGGAGGTCACGCGGAGGGGCCACGCAGATGATCTGCGTGCCTGCAATCAAACGACTAAGATCTGTTCTCGCGCACACGGACGACCTAGATGCACTCCCTCCAAAACGTAATCGAACGGCCAAATTCAAACGTGATCGGATGGTCCAGAGTGAATCACGACGGACAGTCTAGATTGGATCGTGATGAACAGTCCAGATTCACTCTCTATTTAATCACGATCGAACGGTTCATATCAAATACGATAGACGATCCATATCAAAAGCGGATGGATATAAATAACCCTCATTCGCACCAAACTCTAACCCTAGCTGCCAGAACCCCTTGCCGGAGAAGACGATCCAACCACCGGGGAGACGACCGTCGCCACTCGCCGCTGCACCGGAACCCTTTCCGACCGCTAAAAAAGGTAAAAACTTCTCATTTTGCACGAAATTCAATTTTAAGCTCACCAATGGCCAAATCAGTGTGAAAAAACCGACCAATTGGCCGAAAAAGACCAGCGAAGTCCGGCGGCACCGCCGTAGAGAATTTCACAAAATGCCTCCGATGAAGTCCTTCCTGATTCCTGTTTTACATAATTTTTCACAGTTGTAATCACTGTTTTATTCTCTACAGGTTGACCGAAGCGAAACACCCAACCTCAATGTGAGTCGAAGGAGCCGCCGCACCAGAGAGCCCCACTGCTAGTGAATTTTGATTTTTCATATTTTTTCAGTCAACTGAGACTCTTTAACATGTTTGCTCGTAGGAATCGATACAAAATCGGCTGAATTCGGCCAAAAATGACTGAAAACGACTTACTCGAGGCGGACAGCCGCCGGAGCACGGCAGAGCTGCCGTGCTGAATTTTTAAAATTGGCCGAGTGGGCCATGGGACTGATTTTGGGTTTATTTCGAATATTTATAGGTACTATAAATGCGTTTCAGTTCTCGAAAAAAAAAAATAAGGGAACCCAAGGACCGCCCATAGGCGCAGTAAACCGTTTAACTTTTTGGTATTAAATCGTGTAAGGATCTCTCACCCTATTCTCTATAATAGAACTGAAGTTTAAATAAATAATAATGTGGTTTTTTGTACGATTTTAGTAAACATGCATAATTAATTACGGGTTGCTAATGGAGCCGGAACTGAAAATTATCTACTACTGTTGTTGATTGTTTTTATAGTTTACCTGCATGATGGTATCTTATTTGTTTATTTTATAACTTTGAATACATGTATGGTTTATTTTACGTATTTACTGTTGAATCGGGAAAAATAAAGTTTAAACGGTAAAGAAATTATGGGATTAAATGATTATATGAAAAGGCAGCCTTACTGGATATCTTGGGAGATGGTGGACAGCTCGGATACATAGAGAACCCTACCGTGAACGTTGTCTCATACCAGACGGGGTATGGAGACTTGATAATTTGGCTCTCATACCGGACGAAATATTGAGGTTTGGTAAATTGGCGCTCATACCGGACGGAGTATGAGGACGGCCCATGATTGAGAATGATAAATGAAAGGGTTCACTGGTAGTGAGGACATCCCTATGAATCCCCATGGATACCAACAGGCTGGTGAAAAGGGTGGTAGTTGTTGTTTGGTTTATTGATAATAGATATGGATTTATAACATGTAATATGATAACTGATTATGCATGAGATATTGGTCTGTATGATATTATTGTTCTTACAGGTGGTTTTCATAAATTCCATGATGGTAAGTGAACGAGAAATTATTTTATGATTGAGAAATAAATTTGCTAAATTTAATGCTCCATTAGTGGTTTTCGATTTTATACCAATCTTTATTTCTGTGCCGGTAATATAGTGTGATATCCTTATTAGACTAATGTAACTCATCCTTTATTTAACCATTTCAAATCAAGATGACCAGATTCCAGAGCCCGATCCGCAAGAAGATTGCAAGTATATGCTAGATATTTTTTATTTTCCATTTGTTTCCTTATTTCTCATGTTTCTTTCAAATAATTAATTCTGTAATATTGTTCAGTACTTTTAAATTATTGTGTAAGAAATATAAAGTTTAACCTTTTATTTCGTTTCCGCACTTAAGTTATTATATATTTCATTTTGGATTTTTGGGGTCGTTACAGTTGGTATCAGAGCCACGTTCCTCGAACCCATTCCTTACACAATAATCCTTAAGGAACATCAAAACAATGAATTATCACTCAATCATTCCTTGTAAAATGCAGGTACAGAGAGATAAGAGAGGAAGACCCCCACTAAACCGAGCTGCCCAAGATGGTTCGCTTAGGAAAGATGTTGACCGGATATTTGAGATGCTGGAGAGACTCATTGCTGCCCAGCAGAGCCGAGAGGAGACGGGGGAGCTACCTGACCCTCCCTTGCTGCCACAGGTTGAGCCACCCTTGCAGCGAGAGGATCCCGAGCCACCCCAGTACGACCCTGCTCCTCCACAGTACCACCCAACACCACCACCGTATGATCTGGTACCCTAGCCACAGTACCACCTGACGCTGCCACAATATAATCCGATGCCCCCACCATATCAGCAAATACCACCGCAGGACCCCCAGTCTATCCTCAGCATGGCCCAGTCCCTCTTCTACAGGAGCCAGTTCCTCCCTTGATTGACCTAGGCTATATAGAGAGGTACAAGAGACTAAACTCATCTACTTTTGGTGGGGGACCCTTTTTTGAAGATGTCGAGTACTAGTTAGTAGAGACAGAGAAGGCTTTCAAGACCTTGGGAGTGACTCCCGAATAGAAAGTTACCATTGCTACCTACATGCTAGTGGGAGAAGCAGATCGCTGGTGGGAGCTCAAACAGACCACCTTGCTTGTTTCAGTTACTTGAGAATAGTTCTTAGCAGCCTTTCATGCAGAGTACTTTCCAGAGCATCTCCGACATCTGAAGGAGATGGAGTTTGTATAGTTGGTCTAGGGGAATATGACTGTGTCAGAATATGCTCGCAAGTTCCTAAAGTTGGGGCGATACTCCCCTGAGACGTTGTTGGATGAAGGTAGGAAGGTTAGAAAGTTCGAGCGGGGCCTTCACACAGAGATCAGATAACATTTGTTTATACTGGAGCTTAAGACTTATTCAGCCATTCTGGCCAAAGCACAACTAATGGAGAGGAGCTTCCGCACCCTCTCTCAGGCAGTAGGGAACCTTAGACCCTCAGCTCCACCGCACAGACTAGCACCTACTCCACTTGTTCAACAGAATAAGAGGTCCAGGCCAGTGATGCAAGCTCCCCCTCATGCTCTAGTGGAAAAATGCGGTAAGATCTGTCAGCATTGTGGCGGGGATCATGGGGACCGACCCTGCTACCGCCTCAACAACACCTGTCGTATATGTGGTAGTGTCCAACATTATCCGAGGGAGTGCCCAAAGAACTAAAATCAAGGCAGACCTCCTATCTAGGGCAGAGCTTATAATCTCACCCAGCAGGATGCAGAAGCCAACCCAAACGTGGTACAGGGTATGTACACTATCTGTAACTATCTTGCTCATATTTTGATTGATACTGGTGCATCGCATTCATTTGTTTCACCTGTTTTTGTATCAAAATTTAATGTATTGCTTGATAAACTTGATTCTATATTGTTTGTGTCTACTGCTGGGAGTATGACACTATTAGGAGAAGTTGTCTACAGGGCTTGTGTCGTAAATATAGCAGATAAAAAATTGAGTGTAAACCTAATAGAATTAGACATGGAGAATTTTGAAATAATTTTAGGAATGAATTGGTTAGCGGCGTATTACACCACCGTAGATTGTTTAGCAAGAATGTTGTATTCAATCCTCCTAATGATGAACCATTTACAAATTAATAAAATCATTTAGCATTTATTCCTTTATGGCAAATTTTCTTATTCATCGAGTACTTTAACCCTATTGTTTTCTCTAACTAGGAAAACCCAAGAAAAAGAATTGTATTCAAGAGATTTTAGTAGTCCGAGACTTTTTAGATGTATTTTCGGATGAACTACCCAGACTGCCAGTGGACAAGGAAGTCGAATTCACCATAGATCTCCAGCCAAGCACCCAGCCTATTTCGGTTGCTCCTTACTGCATGAGCCGTGTTGAGATGGAGAAACTGAGGAAACAAATCATTCAATTGCAGGACAGTACTTTTATCCGACATAGTGTGTCTCCTTGGGGTGCCGGAGTCACATTTGCTAGAAAGGGAGATGTGACGTTGAAGTTATGTATTGATTACAGAGGGTTAAACAGAGTCACAATCAAGAACAAGTATCCCATTTTTAGGATTGATGACTTCTTCGATTAGTTGCAGGGTGCTCAGGTTTTCTCCAAAATAGA